TTTTTAGCGATATTGAACCCCTACGATAATTCTATGGAGAAAATTACTTTTAAAGTTAACAAAGTGGTTGGGCTGCCATAGTCGCCCTAACGTTTGACGCTATGTAAAATTTGGGCTGCCGTAGTCGCCCTAACGTTTCAGCGGCGCGTTAACTGATTAGCACATCCGTCCATCCAATTTAATAATGTTTTAATAACTTGATAACAAGCTCTTCAAGCCAAACCCGTCGTCAAAATATTAACACAATAATCACTATTTCCGTTAAGGCGCGGGTTGTGCATCACGAACATATTTTCGTTAGCACCCTTTACTTTTTTAAAATAAAACTTTGTTCGTTAAAATACCTCGTATTGAAATATTATAACACGTATTTGGAGTAAGTCATCTAATAAATTATAGCGTCACCCCATATTGGGTAAGTGTTGAACAAGTTTATATTATATTTTTTACTGTAGATTACAACATGATTTGCTTTTGTTTTAATATTACATATAATGTGCTACCCGCTATTAACTGCCTAACGCAGCTGAAGTTCCTCGGCCAAGCAGAACACAGGGCAGTACCGGACTACGTCGGCGGAAATAAGGCGGGCTATACACCCACGACCATATTTTTTATTCATTTAAAAAAAATTATAAAATATTTGTAATTTGTGTTGACGGGTTATTTCCTCTTAAAGTACCCCCGTCACAAGCTCGTTGACCGATATGAGTTACGTATACACGATCCTCAAGAGTGAGGGAACGATTAAGAAGCAGAAGAACAATAACTACTTTATCGACATGAGAAATATGTTTTTCATAATCGCATGCAATAAGATCTCGACCTAACATTAATTATGTATTTTATTATATTTCGTTATCATAGAAGATAAAATAATAAATAAGTTATGACCAAATTATTCAATTTGATAATGTATGTGAGTAATTTTGGTATTTATTATGATATTTGCTTTTTTTACGGAAAAGGAGGCAAAAGAGCTAGCGGGTCACCTGATGGTAAGCGATCACCGCCGCCCATGGACACTTACAACATCGGAGAAGTCATTGCAGCCGGCCTTGAAGACAAAAAGCTAAATTATATCTAAAAACAGTACAAAAGATTCATAAATATAGCATGTGAAAGTTGACAACAATAGTAATCTCAAAGCCAGGCTAACTGTACTAAAAGTACGCATGCGCTTTTCTTTATTCATCAATCTATTCTTCCGTGGAATACACTACCTCTCGAAATATAATTAAGGTAATTTATGTTTAAGAGTAGATGTTTATTTTCTGCGATGGTATTTGCTCAAGTGTAGTGTGTTATCTAATATAAAATGCATAGTAAAATTTGGAAAATATTAGATTGTAAATCACTAATAACTTCGCTTTCTTTTAAAAAAAATTATCAAATTAGATCATTGCAACCACTTGAAGATGCACAGCATAAATTTTCACAAATATACTTCATGGACAATTGGATGTACCTTGAACGATTAACGATATTCAAAGGTAAATTTAAGGATGAGGTAGTTCCCATTCCTAGGATACCGATGATCCGAAGATATATGTACTTTGAGTTTAAACAATTCAATGCCCGATTCGTCTTACCTTCGCCATTAAGATTAACAAATCACAAAGTCACTTCTTGACTATTTGTGGTCTCAATCTAGAAAATGCATGTTTTACTCATGGTCATTTGTACGTGGCATGCTCCAGTGCCGGCATACTATCCGCTTTATTTGTTCTTGCGCTTGATAACAAAAATGTCGCGTACCATAACGTGCTTGAATTAAGAGAATTATCCCGAGTGCATCCTATACTGCACTTGCTCGCTGACACGCGGGTGAAGTATGAGATTTTTTTATTTCGAACGATTTCGGTTCGAACCTCGGCTTGAATCGCAATCGATATGGGGACCTACTTAGAGGAAAGAATAAGGTCAAAATTGCGATTTACTCCCAAGAATAATTATACAAACAATTATTCATGAGAGTTGTTCATTTTTATTAACATGTGTTAAAAATATTAATAAAAACCATTCATTCCCGAAAACATCGTCTACAAAATAAAAAGTTATACAATGAATCACGCAGCGATTAGGAGCGCCTATACACTCGTCAAAAAAAATAGCAATGACAACACAACGTAATGATTCAGAAACGACCAGGCACACGAGTATATCGCGTGTAGACCGCGAATCTGGGACCTCGCATTCGCCGTCGAATGTGGTTAACTGTATGTATGTATGATAATGCATTGTGTATGATGTGAAGTGCTGCGCGCGGCGTTTGGCGTCTTGTTTGGCAAAGAGTACTTTTGTTTGGCGTTGTGTCAATTGCCTCGCTTCTGACCGTGCTATGCCGTCATAGCGGCGTTTTGTTATCGGGCGGGCCTAATTATTAAATACATTAATCGCGCGCGTAAGCGTGTCGTTTGGATCGTCTATAACGTTTATCGGAGAGCGTAGTCTCGGATGCATTGTCCGAGGGATTGCTGGATATATTATTCTGAAAGCTTTCACCAACGGATTTGTATAGGTGTTAATTCTTTTGAAGTGTCTTATCAATGCTTCTTTAAAATGGGTAGACAGGGATGTTAAAAGTCGCGATAGAAGTCGGCGTTCGCACGTACCACGGTGTGATGTTGCGCGACGAAGGACTTTATTATGAATTACATAATTATAATGGCTTTAGCCTTTAATCTATTAGAAGGTATTTGCGTGAAACTGACACTCGCATATGACGTCATAATGGGCCGAATGCATGTTTTATATAAATGGATTTTATGTTTTGCTTTTTACTTATCAAAGAGCCGTGATAGCTCAGTGTCCGGGCGCTCACCTTTAATTTAATATACTTGTTGAGCATCCTGAGTTCGATCCCCGGTACCAGCACCGATGAAATTGTCAATTTTAAGTGCTGAATTATCACTTGCTCAGCGGTGAAGGAAAACATCGCGAGCAAACCTGCATATTTTCGAAAAAAAAAGAATATTTCGAAGATATGTGAAGTCCGCCAATCCGCAGTGAGGCCGCGTGGTGGAGTATGCCCTGTTACCCTCTCTACAGAGGAGGCCTTTGCCAAGCAGTGGGACATGTATAGACTGACTTTTTTTTATTTATCGCCCTAGTGAGGGAAGATAGGCGAAACAACAAATATAGCCTTATTTGCTACCATGCGTATGTGTTCTTTGAAGGTGAGGCGGCAGTCTAGAGTGACGCCGAGGTATTTGGCCTTATTTTCCCATGGAATGGATTGGCCGAATAATTTACGGGGAGTGAGGATTTTTCCTGATTGGCAATTAAACATGACCGGTTTAATTTTCTCCGGGTTTTTCTCTTGAATACGAAAAGTATACCAACGATTTTATATGGACAGCACTTATATTATTTTGCAATGTTAATGTGAACTGATGTTTACATTATATAAATTTTAAAGGCTATTGTATCTTAGCCTATTGTAATTATTTAATTATACTGTTAAATAAACTTATTTAAGCTAATCATAAAATGTGCATTTACATAATGAAAATAAATGAAAATATGTTAGATACTAGGTCTTGACATTCTTAATATAAAGTATTAATTAAATGTTAATTTTAATACAAAATACAGTAGTCTTTAATGACACACTACGATTAAAATTTTCTAATGAAAAATGTTTATGAAAACATAATATTTACAATTAAGGAATACGTCTTTATTTCAAGAACCATTTTAAGTCCAAAAACTATGTACACAAACATATTACACAATTTATTTATACAGTGTGTCATTACAATCGCGACAATAAATGAACACAAATATAGAGGATAACTTTTTAAAATTGTATTAACATTTACTTTCTTTAAACATTAATATTTACAGAGTTATTAAATTTTCCAAAACAAAGAATTGAAGAACATCCTTATGTATAAAACTGTAACGTAAAGTTCATTTGTAAAGGTCACAAATCATATGAATGGGTTGAATGAATTTAAAAGAGACAAAACATACAGTTAGAAGGAGAGGCTTGTAATGCGACACTGTGGCAACGAATGAGTCTCTGAATGTATTAATCAGTCAGTTGTAGTTGAATAGGATGTTACAATATTTTTTTACTTAAATAGTTTGTTAATTATGGATTTTTTTAACTTTAATATTTTGTGATGATTATTGGCACGTTAGACGTGTGTTCATTTATTGTCGCGATTGTAACGACACGCTGTATAAGGTTATCATGTAATCTCTGACTGGAGTCTACATCACACGTCTACATTAAACAGACCAGACAGTCTGCACTTTAATTATTTCTGGTTATCTATTACACAACATCAAATACCTAAGAAAATGTGACATATTAACATTATTATTTATATTATTTTTATAAGCATATCAGAAAAATAAGAAAACCTGCTCTGGCAGCGCAATATTAAGTTTCTCAAGACCTAAACGCGACTTGCGGAATGAGTAAATTGTACAAAGATTATGCCTCCTACATTTCCATTTTAGTGCCAAAAGCTAGTTAATTGAGCAATGTGGAATCGGAACTCCGCGCGGGGCCATGTGCGTATTATTTGTTTATATTATTTGTTAAATAACTACTTTTATATTTACATTAAATGAATATGGTCTCTAATATATTAAATTTGAATTTGAAATAATACCACATTCACGAGTTGATGGAAAAGTGTAAACAGCTTAGTTCCTGGAAGGGATCCACCAGCCGCACCCGTTTTTTTTATTTTTCTGATCTAGCTATAACCTCAATTTTATGTATTTCTTATATATAATACAATGCAATTTATACATTACAATATTTAAAACGACTTATGAACCTTATGACAGTGATATAAAAATTAGCAGTGGAAACCTTTTTGTTTTGTACGAAAATACTTTTTGTCACAGTGTCACGTCGTCACAAGCGAAATTAAACTTGAGCGAATTGTCTATGGTTCTTGTTGACACGACGTCGTACTGGTTGGTGGCGGTCTTCTTGGGTAGTCGTTGAAAATATGTATGTGTGTGACGCAACGTCAGTCAGCCTCGTGTTCGTGCAACTGAGCCAACAAAGCGGCTCGCCGAGACTCCAACTCCGCGTCGCTCCAAACACCGGTGCCAGCACTTCTGTAATGTCACAGGAGCAATATAAATAAAGACACACAATGTTTTATCATAGCACTAAACAAGATTGGTGTGGCAATACTAGGGAAACGAAAAAGTAACTTATTCTACAAGAATTTAAATATGCAATATTATAGGTCTTTTTTATTTTCTCGACTTCAATAATTTAAGGTCTCTCGAGAATCAATGACTATTTGAGCCTTTACTATGCTTACAATAACATACTGTAACAAGTGAACAAAGCCTAGCTCACTTGTCTTTTTTCTCTTTCTTCTCCTTCTTCTTCTTGGGCTTGTGCGCATGCTCATGCTCGTCGCCGCTGCTTGGGGCGCTGCGCTTGGACTTCTTACTTTTGTGACGTGTTAGCTCGTCCTCTGATATGCCACCCTCTTCTGGAGTTGGTGATTTCTAAACAACATTTTTTAGGAATAATGTAATTAGCTCGGCGTTTTGAGAATCATTTTCACATATTAGCCAAGGACAGAACATAAGATAGTTCAAGAAGTACAAAGTTTTCAAACACAAAGCCGTATGAATAACCGACTATTCACCACTAAAAATAAAATAACGTTAGAAAATTCAATTCTTAGGGTTGTTTATTATAGTAAAAGTCAATTAAATTTGGCCTTCGTTGCACACTTAAAAAGTTAAATCTTCCACTGGGTTTGTTAGCTATGTTATAAAAGTTAGGAAACACTTCAACACATTTTGGTTTTTCATATTTCAAGTAATTAACAGACCATTTAAATATGGTTTGCTTTTATCCGACATTTGTATATTATTATTATCTATAGCTTTGACAATCCTCATATTGATAACTCTTCAATTTAGTGATGTAGAGAGATGTTGCTGGTATTATAGCAAGGCAAGTAATAGATGGGAGGGCATTACCGGCGGCGGCGAATGCTTGCGATGCTTCTTCTTCGGCTTCCTGTGGCGTCGCTCGTCCGAAGTCCATGTGGCGGCGCTGCCAGCCGGAGAGGGTGATCGCGGTGACGCCGTGCCCGATTTCGCCTGCAAATAAAGGACTTTTATGGGAGAAGGAGCTCGAAGTTCACCTGATGTTAATTACGGAGAACCAGAGGACATCAATAACGGTATCGACTTGCGATTGCGTTGCGACTTCTAAGTGGTGGTGGTAAGGCGTTAGTGGTCCACCCACTTACGTCAGATACTCTTACTTAGGAAATTAAATGAAAATTAAAAATTAAAATTATATCGTCACTGGAAAGGCGAAATTATTTAAACACCAAACATTTATTTGGCAGTTAAGTAATTTTGCCTTTCCATTGATAATATATTCTTCAATTTAGCTTGGTCTTCTATAAAGACTTGTTGGTGCTTTGCAAATCAATCTGTAAATTTTGATATCAATTTTATCTTAAGCCTGCAGGATGCTTTATGAAGGCTAACAAACGGTAAAACATGGACGAGGGATTTTATAAAACACTGTATTTACTAAATACAGCAGTGGATATTGTGACAGTAATTGAGATTAAATTCACAAAAAGAGAATATAGTGCTTATGCTTGGTCATTCAAGTATTGACTATTAATGATTTAATTTATTGCCTGAGGGTATGTAGGATCTCTTGTATGGAATAAAAGTAACTCAATTGTAAATGACCGCTTGAAACTCCTGAAATTTCATTGAAATCATTCTGTATGATCAACTCCAGCATGAAGTTAGGATTAATTTGATTGAATGAATTTTACCGGGGAGACTGAACGGGAATGTTTCTTTTTCTTAGACCTCTTTGACTTGCGCGACTTCGGATGGTGATAATGCATGCAGCTGTCCTCCTGCTCGTGCTGGAAATCCTGAAATGCAGTTTACAATTATCAAACAAGATAAATTTTCACATAATGTAATACAACTAACTATTAAATTTTTGTAGCAGGTCTTGTAATTTTATTATGATTGAAGGTAAGTGTAGCATAATATCTATGATAAAACAAGTTTAAACATATAATAAACACGGCTGCCTAACGTCGTCAGTGGAACGGTAAATTGAACTAGTTGAATAAACAGTCAACATTAAAACCAGACAAAATAAATGCTAAGACTCTTGGTACACAGATGTAAGACAGTGAGTTCTCACAAATACATGACTAAAATTATTTTTATCAAAGTGTATTATTCCATTTCTCAACAACATTTTCGCCATTTAAATATAACTAATTCTAAATTCTTATACTAGTTTAATTTAAAAAATAATTATATTTGCGTATTTATAACCGACCATTTGAGAATATTACTTTTTTTAATGTGGTTCAATTTATAACAAAATATACCTTATATATCCTAATGCGGTCTTCCTCATCGGGAATGGCCGTAAACTCCGGCGCGTTTAGGTCCACTTTCTCTTTAACTTCGTTCCAACTGAGCTGGTGGTCTACGTTTGCATCCCTAAGAGCCCATTTGAACGCGCTCTCGACCTTTTTCTGCGCTTTGGATTCTTCTTTCATCTTCTCTTTGTTGCGCGCTTCGGCCTATAATATTAATAGAATCGATAACTTAAAAAATATTAGCAAATCCAAGCCTTGTATATTCTCATTTGACGAGCCGTAGCCGACAATACCCTCGTTTTGGATGACTACGTGGTAACCAAGTAAGCCAAGGTATTAGCTTCGGCATCGGGGGTCGTGGGTTCAATTCCCACACGAGACAACTATTTGTGTGAACCACAGATATTTATTTCGGATCTGAGTCCACGTGAAGTTTATGTATGTAAACGTCCTTACAACAAAAGATAATGTAATCCGTTGGATACGTAAGGGTGGCAACGTTTTCGGAGGGAAAACTACGATATCTCTTTCTAGGTCGCAATGGCTATTGGGACTTAGAATCCTTTCCACACAAAATACAAATGCACTGATTTTTTTAATACACGCGTTTCCACACTATTTAGGCTTTCGACTTTTTTTAAAGTTGGCCTGATACAAAAGTTTCTTTGCCGAATGAAATAGAGCTTACATGGACAAGATATTTTTTTACTACAGGTATTAATTGTATAACAGGTAGTAATTAAAAATTTAAAGAACAAACATGATTCACTTATATTAAAAGAGAGCAGGTACAAATTATATAGTGTATATGATAGCCAACATCTTACTGGACTATCATTATACAGCGTGGCGTAACAACTGCGACAATAAATGAACAGACGTCTAACGCTATTTGCCTATAATAATAAAAAATTATAAACCCTAAAAAGTTGCCCAGCAGTGGGACATAGGCTGATACCTTACTTTTTTATATGCTTTGTGACCTTTACAAATGAACTTTACGTTACAGTTTTATACGTAAGGCTGTTCTAATTTTTTTTGTTTTGGAAAATTTAATAACTCGGTAAAATTTGATGTTTAAGAATGTCGTACCCGGAGGACCGAGCTTTGCTCGGTTTGTTTTTTTTTGGTAAATCGTATATTTTGGAAATTAAATTTATCGATCTTACCGACGTAAAAATAAGAAAATATGAACTGATGTTTTTCACAAAAGAAAGAACTTTGAAAAAAAGGGAAAGAAATAACAAAATAACAAATCGACAAAAAATTAAAAATAAAGAAAGCAATGATCTGGAATAAAAAAAAAGTAAAAAAAAATGTGTAAATGAACGTGACGCGAACCACGGCCGTCTGTTTTGGGGCCGCCCGATTACCGACCGAGCTATTATTTTCTCTTGCGGCGAAATTTACCGTCATATTCGAATTATATTTTTCATTCCCTGAAAACAGGGATAAAAGGACATTTTCTAAAAATGAAACCTAGCTAGATCGATTTTCCGCCCCCGAATCTATGCACATACTAAATTTCATGAAAATCGCTGGAGCCGTTTCCGAGATTCCGATTATATATATATATATATATACAAGAATTGCTCGTTTAAAGGATAAAATATATTTAATATGTGGTCGCGATAGTAGTGCCACGTTGTATATACAGCGTGTCGTTACCATGGCGACAATAAATGAACACACGTCTAACCCTACTTGCCAATAATCATAAAAAAATATTAACGTTAAACAAAATCCATAATTAAAAAAAAATATTTTTCAAACAAACTAATTAAGTAAAAAAGAAACAAAATTTGTAACATCCTATACAACTCGCGCCACAGCGTCGCATTACAAGCCTCTCCTTCTAACAGTATGTTTTGTCTCTTTTAAATTCATTCAACCCATTCATATGCTTTGTGACCTTTACAAATGAACTTTGCGTTACACTTTTATACGTAAGGATGTTCTAAAATTCTTTGTTTTGGAATATTTAATAACTCGGTAAATATTGATGTTTGAAGAATGTAAATGTTTAATACAATTTAAAAAATTTATCGTCTATATGTGTGTTCATTTATTGTCGCGTTGGTAACGACACGCTGTATAATTCGCCTGTACGTGTGTATGTCACTGAACTCCTCCTAAACGGCTGGACCGATTTTAATGAAATTTTTTGAGTGTCTTCATGTCGATACGAGAATGATTTAGATGCACAATTCATTCCACTACATTTTTTTTTATTTATAAGTCGTTGTCGGATTTAAGCCGCGTATACAGCACAGTATGACCTGTGCGCTAGCCAAATTGAAATATGTAATGTAGACCCCGGTTGTATAAGCTTTACGCACCTTCTCCAGGAGTGAGTTGTAAGTGAGCTTGACGTTGCCGGCGTCCAACGAGGCGGACTTGCTGTCCTCGCACACGATCGTCGCGAACTCCTCGAAGGTCGTGTGCGGCGTCACCTCGAACTCCTTCATCTTGAGGATTTCCTTTATCGCTTTCTTCTCGTCGTGGAAGCGGGCCTTTAGGTTCTCCACGTAGAACTTGAACAAGTCCAGAGGCGTCGATCCGCTTTGCCCTGTTCACGGTATAACGTTAATTATATAGAACTTTCGATATTTACTACTATTATTATATGGGCGCTTATTTATAGTGATAATATTGCTATTATGAATATTGTTACACCATTTCACCTAGAATACAGATTAAAAATATTTAAGTAAGGCTCCCATACAACAGACATGATTTTTTTTTTGCCGTTAACAAAGTGATTGGATTTTCGGTTGCGAGCTGTTTATATATTGGATGGTAAAAGTGATAACCACACTGGGACCGTTTCTTGTATACTCAACCAGGCCGCTGAGGATGTTACACCAACGACGTTAGGAAGTTGAAGTGCCTATTCTCCCCTTCTGCCATATTCTTCGAGCTAGGTCGACGTGTTGGTCAGACATGTTTGCGACATCAGCCAATACTGTTGCTGAAGTTTAGTTTTACAAATACAATCATTTAAGGCCATTTTTCCTACATGAGAAAAGCAACTGTAATTATCTTACCAAGCATAGCAGAGAAGCGAATGTCGGCCGAAATAACTGGATATAATTCCACCCATAAAGACATTGACGTCAATTTGCCTTCCTCATGAAGACTGTCCATAAGTGCCTGCATTAAACAAAAAAAATGCAAATATTACAAAAAGAATCAATTAAAAGAAATAACTATGTCTAAACAAACAAACAAACTTAACAACAAACTTACCAAAAAGTTGTCCCTGTTTTTTCTTTGTTGCCGTTTGTTTCTTTTCTTAACCTGCTCCTTCTCCTGGAGATACTCCGCCTCCAAATTTCTTATATGCTGCTCAAATACTAAAGAGAGATATAAAAATCAGATATATAAAAGTAAAATAAATAAACAGATGTTACATTAAAAACAATATTACATGAAACATGAATTAACGTTACAACTAAATGTACATCTAGTTAAGAGGCAAACACAGCATGCTTAAAAATTAAAACAAAAAAAAGTTAAACGAAAAGTGTGAACAAAATATCATATTAATAAATTAAGATTTAAAAAAGCAGATTGTAATTTTATAAGGCAAGACAAAAAAGAGTAAAATCTATGAAGAAATTTAAGTCATGTGGTTTCAAATGTTAGGTTACATACAACATCAAACAGAATACAAATTAATTATACAAATAAAAATTACTTAAATCTTAGCATTAAAATAAGTTTTAAGAGCTTCTTATTTTAAATACTTTTAATGAGTCAAAATGAATATCAACGGTTGTAGTTCATTAGTATTCATTAATTAAATTAGACAGGCGAGACACTAGTGAGTTTTTTCCCAGAATAGTGCGTTTAATTTGCGAAGCTAAGAGAGCGATAGCATTGCGGGGATACTTGAGAGGTATACGGTTGTTAAAAAGAGCAAGGAGTTGTGGACAGTCAATATGGTTACGAAGTACCTTATATGCAAACAAAAGATCTAAGATGGCTCTACGATGCGCTAATGATTCCATATTTAAATGTGCTAGTTGATTTTGGTAGGACATGGTTTTGTAGGGTATACCCTCAGAGTAACATAGATGCCTTACGAACCTTTTCTGTAAACGTTCAATTAGAAAGCTAAGGGTAGCGAAGTGTGGGCGCCACACTACACTACAAAATTCTAATGAACTACGAACCAAACTATAGTATAAAATCTTTTTCGTTTTAATATCCCTAAATTGCTTAGCATTTCTGATGACAAATCCTAGCATCCTTGAACTTTTTTCATTAAATTATCGATAAGGGGTATAAACGTCAACTTATGGTCTATAATTATATCTAGGCTCTTGACACAATTTGTTTGTTTTAAGTTCTCATTTTCTATATGGTAACACGACATAATTGGATTTAATTTGCGTGTAAAAGTTATAAAATAACATTTGTCAGTATTAAGTCGCATTTTATTTTTAATGCACCAGTTTTTCAATACATTTAAATCATTCTGTAATAAGTATATATCTTTTTGTGATTCAATTACTCTTAAAAACTTTAAATCATCGGCGAATATAAAAGGCGTGGAGTGATTAAAGCATTCCGGCAGATCGTTTATAAATATGTTAAAGAGAACTGGACCTAAATGCGAACCTTGTGGTACACCAGTAGAAATTTTGTAGGAGGAGGAACAATATCCGTTAACAGCTACAAAGAAATCTCGATTCTTTAAGTATGACGAAAGCCATTCCAAAAACTTACCAGAAAAACCGTATTTGGAAAGTTTATGAATTAAGAGCGCATGTGACACGGAGTCAAAGGCTTTAGAAAAATCTGTATATATTATTACATGAGACTGTTTATGTTCGTATACTGATCTGATTACTGATTCAATAAAAGAAGTTAAATTAACAGAAGTGGATCGAGAAGAAGTAAAACCATATTTATGAAATGTAAACATTCCAGTTGCAATTATCAAGCAAATAAATGTCAACCTATAAGAGCATCCTCTTTATCCATTCCCAATAAGCTGACATCGTTCTTGAAAGCAGAATTCTCTAAAAGCAAAACTTGAGCTTCACTCCATGTACTGCAGTAAGATATTTCACTCATATTTTCCAACACCTGCAAGGAAAAATTGCTCTTATTACAATTTTTTGTATAATGCACTGCAGTAAAACTTTCAGTTGATAAAGGAGTGAATAGTTAAAAATATTTATAAAAAAATATGAGACCTGTGCCAACATCTTCATATTTCTCTTTTTCAATGTTTTTGCTTCCTCTTTTTCTCTCTTTGCGATAGTGTAAATGCAGTCAGCAAATATATCTCTACGGTCTGAATCTGGCACACATCGCCATATCTATAAATGTAAAATAATACATGTATTGTGAACTTCATCTTCAAACAAACGCTGCATATCATATATTTATCACATTTAAGGAATGAAACAGTAACTGACCTCGAGATTGCTGAACATCTCTTCACACTTGTAATACTTTGTCAAAGATGTGACACGATCACAACTTAACAAAAACTCCTCTAAATTTTCTCTATTCTTCTTTGTTTTCAACCTGTATATGATAAAATGCATTTCTTTGAAAGTTTTTTAATCAGCAGGCACAAGTATCTTAATGAGCTTTATTTGAATATTTGATATACAGCGTGTCTTTACAACACACATATAGAGGATAACTTTTTCAAATTGTATTAAACATTTACATTCATCAATATTTACAGAGTTATAAAATTTTCCAAAACAAAGAAATTTAGAACACCCTTACATATAAATCTGTAACGTAAAGTTCATTTGTAAAGGTCACAAAGCATATGAATGGGTTAAATGAATATAAAAGAGACAAAACATACTGTTAGAAGGAGACAAGCCTCTCCTGCGACGCTGTGGCAACGAATGAAAAAGTCTCTGAATGTATGAATCAGTCAGTCGTAGTTGTATAAGTGTTACAAATTTTGTTTCTTTTTTACTTAATTAGTTTGCTTGAAAAATATTTTTTTGTAATTATGGATGTTGTTTAATGTTTTTATTTTTTTATGATTATTGGCAAGTAGCGTTAGACGTGTGTACATTTATTGTCGCGATGGTAACGACACGCTGTATAATAAGATTATATATAAAGTATTCAAATACATGTAGGATTAATTATTTAATAGTTGAGTAAAAGGTGATTTTTGAACGAAGTATTGTGTGAATGAGAAGGATGGATGACGTAAAAAGAATGGGAGAGAGACTCACGGAACGACGCCACAAACGAGTAACGTGTTTCTGTGTCTTAAATAATAATGTATTATTTTAAATAAAGATGAAAATAGTAACAATATACTCAAAATAAAGATTTTATTTATCCTACGCCTACAAAATTCTCGTCCGGGATAACGGGCTTAAAGTGATTTTTGGGTATTTTAATAACGAGAGAAAGTGATCACGTACGCCAGCCGCTATTACGTGTTACAAAGGAAGCGTATTAATTGTCAATTTAAAATAACGACGATAATATTCACGAAGATTAAAGATGATGGAGAGCAATGGTAAATATAATCCATTTTTCCTGATGGATTCCCTGCCTAAGTTTACGGGGGATGATATGACGTATTCCTCTGCAAAATGGACGCAAGATTTTGAAGACAACGCAGATATTTTCGGATGGAACCAATAACAACGGCTAATTATCGCGCGGAGATGCTTGGTTGGTAGTGCACAATTATGGCTGAAGACGGAAAAAGCATTTAAAACTTATGATGAATTTAGAACGGCTCTAATGAAGAAGGTTCCTGATACTATAAATTCCAAACAAATGCATGAAATTATGAGTAATCGGAAGAAGCAGACTAATGAAACGGTTTATCAATACATGCTCGTCATGAAAGAATTGGGAAAAAGGGCTAAGTTTGCAGACTACGTCACCATACAGTATATAGTCGATGGCATAAACGACTACGAATCAAACAAATTATTATTCTATGGTGTTACATCCTATTCAGTGTTCACGGAGAAAATAGCATTGTATGACAGTTACAAACAGAAAACCAAGAAGAGTACTATAAGCAAAAGAGAAGTAACAGTAATGAAGCCGATGGCACGACGGGAAACTGGAGGACAGACATTCCAACGTTGTTACAAGTGCAGTGAGAAAGGTCATCTGTCGAGTTCCTGTCAAAGAGGTGTAGAGTGTTTTAGGTGTAATGAGTTCGGTCACATAGGCGCAGAATGTAAGAAAACTGAACCTGTAATAAGACAAATGCATGCAAAGCGGGATCGATGATCGATGTTCATTCAATATCCCACGCTGACATCAGAGGGCGCTAGTTCCGCTAACGTGGACGTGAATGTAGAAAGTGATAGTGAACGAAATGTAATGAGTTGCGATCCGAAGGAACGAGCGAGTGCCTGCATATCAAATGTTTGTGACAGTAAGGGGATTCAGGGTCAACTTCAAAAATGTCAGTCTGTATTTAATATAGATAAAGGTGATGCGATAATTAATAGGAGCATCATCATCATCATTTCAGCCTGTTTGAGTCCACTGCTGAACATAGGCCTCCCCCACAGACTGCCACGAAGTACGATTCTGAGCCACCTGCATCCATCGACTTCCCGCACATTTGCACAGGTCGTAAAAGCATAAAAATATAAAAATAGATAAATTCGTGACGAACTGTTTAATTGATACTGGTAGTGATTTAAACTTAATAACTTTAAATTTCTTTTCTAAATTAATAAATAATAAATATACACCTGTGAGAATGTTGCTAACCGGGTTGGGTTGTTCACAAGTATTTTCAATCGGTAATTTCGACACGGAATTAATTATCGACGATCACCATTACAATATTAATTTTTATATTGTACCAACTAATGTAATGCAACACGATGTAATATTAGGTCAACCATTCTTAGTAAATACTGTTACGGTTATAGACAAAGGTGCCGTTGAAATTAGGCCTCCATGTTACGATAATTTATATCAAAATGCTATATGTCTTTTTTCCAGTAATGATGACCAATGTAGTGCGGTAAAAGATATTATAAAAATGATTACGTACCTTTGAAGACCAAAGCTGCACCCATTAGGCTGAAAATTATTCTAAAAGATGATATTCCGGTTACACAACGGCCTAGAAGATTAGCTTTAACCGAAGAACTATTAGTGAAGCAGCAAGTTGATGATTGGTTGAAGATGGGCATCATTCGTCCTAGTTATTCAGAGTATGCAAGTGCCTTAGTATTGACAAAGAAAAAAGATGGCAGTTTACGAGTTTGCGTAGATTATCGAAGGATAAATCAGAAAATGGTGAAAGACGAACATCCATTACCTGTAATCGACGACTTTATTGACAAATTGAGTAGAGTGAATGTGTTTAGCACACTCGATTTAAAAAATGACTTTTTCCATTTACCAATTGAAGAAGAGTCAGTGAAGTATACATCATTTGTAACGAGTAACCCTGAAGGCCAGTATGAATTTTTGAGAGCAACGTTTGGTCTTTCTATCTGTCCTAAATACTTTACAAGATACATTAACATAATATTTGCGGATTTTATAAGAACGGGAGTGGTTTTGATATTTATTGACGATATAATTATACTTTCAAAAGATGAAAAGAGGGAATTGAAAGACTTAAAGCTTTGCTGAAGGTGGCAGCGGAGTATGGGCTCGAAATAAATTGGAAGAAGTCACAAATACTACAAAGATCTGTTGAATTCTTAGGCTACCATATTTCCAATGGAACGATAAGATCATCTAGGGAGAAAACAAAGGCTGTTATGACCTTTCCAGTGCCTAAAAATTTGAAAGAACTGCACAGCTTCATAGGATTAACTTCGTACTTCAGGAAGTTTATTCAAAATTATGGTTTAATAGCGAAGCCATTAAGTGATTTATTGAAAAAAGGTGAGTTTAAGTTTGAGGATGTTCAAAGACAAGCTTTTGACGAATTAAAGTCAAAATTATGTTGTGAACCAGTGTTGAAAATATTTGATGTTCATTTGGAAACTGAATTACATACAGATGCTTCATTGCATGGATTTGCAGCTATTTTAATGCAACGAGACCCTAATGATGGTTGTCACCATCCTGTTCACTACACGAGCAGAAATACTACAGAAGTTCAACAAAAATGCTGCAGTTACGAGTTAGAAGCTTTAGCTGTTATTGAAGGCGTGAAGAAATTCAGAAGATATCTCATAGGAATACCCTTTAAAATCGTCACTGATTGTGAAGCCTTTCAAAAAAACCTTGAACAAAAAGGATGTATCTGCACAAGTAGCACGATGGATACTATACTTACAGGATTTTCAGTATTCTATAGAACATAGAACAGGAGACAAGACGCAACATGTTGACGCATTGAGCAGAAACATTTGTTATGTTGATGTTGAGTTACATGCGAGAATAAAGAAGGCACAAGAAGAAGATGAAGGGTTCAAGATTATTAGAAAACAATGGATATGAAGATTATTTTTTAGAGAATGATGTTATCTATAAAGGACCGGAGAAGAAATTGGTATTACCTGATATGATGGATATGGAATTGATTCAAAAAGCCCATGGAATTGGACATTTCGGGAAGAAGAAGATTAAGGATATAATAGAAAAAAATATTACAAAACTAGACAGTAAAATCGAAAGATTATTACAAAACTAGACAGTAAAATCGATAAGATTGTTTCTACCTGTGTACCCTGTTTATTAGCGAGTAGGAAGTCTGGTAAGAAAGAAGACTTTTTAAATCCAATTGATAAAGGAGAATTACCACTGGATACTTTACATTGTGATAATTTAGGGCCATTAGATGCAACTAAGAAAATGTATAACTACATACTTACTGTAATTGATGGCTATACAAAGTTCGTCTGGATTTATCCTGTTAAGACTGTGACAGCAGAGGAAACCGTAGAAAAGTTAAAGTTGCACCAGAAAGATTATGGTAACCCACGGAGAATTATTACTGACCGAGGAGTAGCCTTTACAGGGAATGAATTTCAAGAGTACTGTCAAAATGAAGGCAAAAAAATGTTAAGTGTTTAGTATAACTGTAGTAAAGTAGCTTCAATCTGAGGCCAGACTGATTTGCAGAATGGCCGAGTTGTAGGATTAATTATTTAATAGATGAGTAAAAGATGATTTTTGAACGAAGTATTGTGTGAATGAGAAGGATGGATGACGTAAAAGGAATTGGAGAGAGACTCTCTGAACGACGCCACAAACGAGTAACGTGTTTCTGTGTCTTAAAATGTATTAATTTAAATAAAGATGAAAATAGTAACAATATACTCAAAATAAAGATTTTATTTATCCTACGCCTACATACATATATATAAATATTTAATTGACAAGAGCGGAAGAGAGCAAAAGAAAGCAAGCAGCTTTTCTTCAAAAAACCTAATCAAAATGAGTAAAAATGTTCCCTACTTCAGTGGCAGATTTATAGTCTTGGCCGCTTTAGACGCTAGCCCATGTAGTAAGTTCCAGCCGCCCCTTTTTCAGCGCCCATCATATATCTTGTAATTATCAGTGAATTTTTTGCCACGATTGGCCACCCCCAAGAGGTGGCC